GACATTTATATTTAATCTTAAATTATAGCATATGTAATATACTATCCTATTAAAAAAAAAAAATTTCGAGATTTAGTGAACATGATTATGATAAATCACTGTCAGATATCATCTACACTAGTCCCAACTAAGCCATGCTCACACTGTGCCNCGCTAGTCCCAACTAAGCCATACTCACACTGTGCCGCAACCGTTTTTTTTAAAAATAATTTTATTTCAGACAACGCAAAGAAACCTTCAAGGCGTCAACGACGGGACACATTGGGCCACCACAATACCGTCTTGATAAAATTTCTGCATAGATTTTATAATATTTTTGAACCTTTATTTAGTTTAGCCAAATGAAACTTTTAAAAAATGGTATCAACCTCTCAATAAAATATACTCTCTCTATCTCTCTCACAAAAAAAAAAAAAAGCTTATATAACAGAGATGAAAAAAAGGTATATATTTAAAATTATATTAATGATAAAAATTTAGAGTGTTTAGAATTATCTTTTTTCATACAAAAAGGAGTCATAGATTTTGTTTAATGATATTTTATCATTTAAAATTAAATGGTTTTCCTAACTAAGAAAACCATTAAATTCAGAGTTAACGTTGCATTGTTTAATTGAAAGTTGAAAGAAGATGTAGAGGAAGATTAAAAAAGAGATGGAGGAATTTTATTGAATGTGATATGAGGACGGCTGATTTGAGCTTAGATGTGGGAAATGGTGTCAAGTATCAATAGTTAGGATTAAGACGAGAAAAAAAGAATAAAAAGAACGTTTAAAATATCGATACGTGATATTAGATACANGAACGTTTAAAATATCGATACGTGATATTAGATACAAAGTAAATGCAAGTATTATTTGTATTTTCAAATCTCAAACATAACTATTGTATAATAAACTGTGATAAATACAAGTTTTAGCTTCGATGCGAAGCTGAGAATGTATTGGTTTTACTAAGATGTGTTTTTTTTTTTTTTTTTTTTTTGTGTCTGTTACCACTTTTTCTCAGCTCTCACCGAACGGATTTCTTTCAACGATACGTCAAAAGATCACAAATCGTATCTAGTCGAAGACATTACCCTTCAAAATTGAAAAAATTTCCCTCGTTCCCCGTAAATGGGGGAAACCTCCAAAAAAATTACAAATTTAAAAATCGCTAATTTTCGAAATTTTTTCAATTTTTTTTACTAAAAACTGCCGTAACTTTTTCAAAAATGAACATATCAATATAATTTTTTTTTATATAGATGCTTGATGTCTTTACCTATCATTTGGTATATTTTTTTTGTAAATCTGACACTTAACCTGCCCACAGGGGGGGATTTAAAATGACAACTTTTTCACAAAAAATTAACTTTTTCAACTTAACTTTTGAAAATGTTCCGGAAGGTCTGACACTTTTATATATATCTTAAATTAAAGCTAATGTAATATACTTTAATTTGAAAAAAAAAAATTTGACCTCTGGACTTGTCTTCGTGGTGAAAGTTGACATCAAAGTTAATAAAAAATTACGATTTTTGTAAAATAATTTTTTTTTATATTTTTAACTTAATAATGCTCTAACTTTTTCAAAAATGAACATATCAATATAATTTTTTTTTATATAGATGCTTGATGTCTTTACTTATCATTTGGTATATTTTTTTTGTAAATCTGACACTTAACCTGCCCACAGGGGGGGATTTAAAATGACAACTTTTTCACAAAAAATTAACTTTTTCAACTTAAATTTTGAAAGTGTTCCGGAAAGTCTGACACTTTTATATATATCTTAAATTAAAGCTAATGTAATTTACTTTATTATGCAAAAAAAAAATTTCGGACTTTATTTTATCTTCACGGTGAAAATGGCTACCAAATGCTATTATTGTGTGAAAATTCTCGATTTTATTTTTTACATTTTTAACTTTATAATGCTATAACTTATTGAAAAGTGTATGGATCAACACAATTTTTTTATGAGAAATAATATTTTTTAATAATCCCTTTTTCATTCGACATACTTTATCTTAATCAGGATATTAATAATGAACTAGCAGATCATGTAGCTTTTGGAATAATCCACCAATTTTTTAAAATTAAACACTATCTTAAGATTTGCATCGAAGCGTTTTTTTTTTTATAGTGATTTTAATCACTGTCAGATATCATTATACTTGATCCATCTATGCCACGTCACCACTGTGCCGCGACCACCCTGTGCTGGGTTTTTTTTATTATACTTTTATTAAGTCAATGTATTAAAAGGCCCTATCTATCGGTGACAATTAAAATGTAAGCTTTAATTCTTTAGGGATATTTTAAGAATTCATTGTTCTTTATATGATCACTCACCGACTACTCAGCCTTCCATATTTCCTTTTTTTTACTTTTTCTCTTATCCTTTTAAATAAAATATAATAGTAAAAAGTTTAATGTAATTTATTATTTAATTATTTGTGGTTTATTACATTTTTATCAAGCCAATGTATTAAATAGCTCTATCTATGGATGACAATTGAAATGTAAGCTGTAGCGTTGTCAATTGCAAGAAAGTCCGCTGGAAAGCTCTGTTTGTTAACTTTTATTCAAAAGAATATAATATAATGTATTTTTTATTTAATTATATAAATAATAATGATTGTATACCCTTTTATGTTACATATCAGTTCGAACGGGAACTCGCAAACTAAATAAGATATTAAAATGCACATTTATTCAATACAAAATATTAAAAATAAATGATCAGTAATCTACTCTACTCAAGTGGTGACGGGTAGTATAAGCTACACCTTCACTGCAAGAATCATTATCTATACAATTCCTTATACCACTACTGTTTATCTCAGTATATAAATTATTGCATTATGCTCGTAATAGTAATAATAATTACCGAATAGAATATATACTTAAACCGCTTCATCGTGTAAGTCTCTTTATTCCATTCCTAATATTTTAATTATTTAATTTATAGAATTTTCAATGGTTGTAATTACTCATTACCAGCCGTGATCAAAATTTTATTTTAAATAAGCTAAGCTAAGCTACAATGGTTATCATAACCATCTAGTTATCAGCCGTGATCAAGATAACTGGCTTTTCTTAAATATTCCTTTTAATCTTTTGTAACGGTGTTCGTAACAACGCGTTATCAACCGTGATACAAAGGGTTATACTTCTACCTTCACCTTAAATTAAGCAGTTCCTAAAGTAAGACTGATATGATTGGTAATTGTTTAGTATAGATATATTCATCATTTTTAAAATAAAACAAAATAAATTGATTATTTGAACAATTTGCGTTGTGTTTTCGTATTATTGATAAATTTAAGTTAACAAAAAACAAACTTAAAAGAGTAAAAACGTAGAACCGTTTTAAAGCTCTAACTCTTTCAGGACGGGCTGGACGTCTCAATACCGGCTTGAGAATTGCTAATAAAAATTAAATGGTTAATTAGAGAAAATTAGAGTACTTATTTGTTTCATGATTACATAATCTACGAAAAAAAAATAGTAAGATGAGTTTTTTTCATGATATTGTAGTTAATATTTATCTATAATTCGTTACTAAAATAAAATGTTTAGAACTAACTATTTTGTTTTAAATTTTATGTAACGTGTATTTAATTCTATCATTAAATAAATAAGTTCAAATTACATAAAATAATAATTGGAATATCAAATAAAATGGGAGTCTAACTTTCGATACACGTGGGAAGTGTCTAAGCAAAATTGTTTATTAAGCACCAGTATAGACAACTGCGAAGTATTATACCAGTACTGGGAACTAAATGTTGAATTAGATTTACGTAAATTAAATATTTAAAAAAAATTACATTTCAAAAAAAAGATTTAAAAAAAAATCTGTAGATTGCGGATAATTGTCCTAGACGTACCAGTGTAGTACTAACTGGTGTCTTGTCTAAGTATTGATCAAGTGGTTGCACTTGGCTGCAATTTTTGGCAATGTACTGGCCTAACATTGATTATAGAAAATCTCTATAATACTAAAATATAAAATGTACGTAATATAACGTAAGATTTTTTCAAGGAGGGTATCACAATACATTTTCTGCATGTAGTCTATAAAAATGATTATCTCTCAGTCAGAGTCGTCACAAATTAAAACTATTCGAGATGAGATGAAAAATTTAATTTTGTTGATCAATTTTTTTTAATAACTATTTTTGGTAGCGTCCTATTTATTAATCAACTACCGACTAAAACATATAAATTTTACCAAATAGGAAAAATGACACCTCCAAGGCTATGAGAATTTTATAATGTCTTTTTAAAAAGATTACTATTTCATAAATATTCTTTCTATCTAAAAATGCAAATGAATAATCAGGACTACCATTAAAAATCATTAATCAAAATCATTTTGCTAAATTCATTCTGAGTTAGAATTTTGCTTTTACCATCAAAAGTTGAAAAAATTTCTCTCGTTCCCCATAAATGAGGGAAATCTAAAAAAAAATCAATTTTGATAACATACGGAGTATTGCACCAGTACAGGTAACTGAGTTTTGACTAATCTGTACCAGTGTAGTACTAGCTAGTGTCTTGTCTAAGTATCAAATAGTTGTACTTGGCTGCAATTGCTGGTACAGTACCGGCCTAATTTTGTTTATAGAAAATCTCTAATACTGCTCTGTTATTGCAGAAAATTATTATCATCCCAAACATACAAAAGTATTAAAATATTAAAATATTTACTCCTGTGCTAAAACTGGCAGTACTGGTGCTTAAGTATTAAGTATTAAGTATTCACATTTTTTAATTTTTAAAAAACCGACATTCTATATAGGTTCATATCAAACATATTTTTAACATGAATAAAAAAATCTGCTAATTTCCAGCTAAAAGTTTTCGGATTTATTCATTAATGAAAAATTATAATCATCAATAATCTCAAAATTGCATTTTGTCTCAATCAGTTTTAGTACAAGTCACATATAATTTACCCTGAATTTTAAATTTCAAAGAAATTACAATTTTTTTTAGTTCATATATAATATATTATATTTTTAATTATTTTCGACAGATTGTAACTATATAGTAATAAACATAAGAATTTTTATTCAATAAAATATGCGCAAACACCTATAAATAATTGATTTTATACTAGTCTAACAATAAAAAAATTACATTATTTAATTTTNATATGCGCAAACACCTATAAATAATTGATTTTATACTAGTCTAACAATAAAAAAATTACATTATTTAATTTTATTGCTTATAACAACTATGATATTTAAAAGAATATAATAATCGAATTCATGATGAAATTATTCGTGAAAATGTATTGACATCGCATATTTATAATTTACATACAAATTTTTTTAAAACCTGAATCATTCATAAATTTTATTAAATAATTGTTTAATTTTTTTATTTCTTTTGCTAGTACATCATCTTTGCAATTATTTTCATTGATATTATTATCAACAGGTTTTTGGATGGACGCTGGATTATTTTCTACAAACCAACAATTACCCATTATAAACTTTTTTAAAATAATTGATATTTTCGATATATTTTGATCCATACAAAAATCAGTTAAAAATGTATTGCCTGCAAAATCTGTCATGATATCTAAAACTGGTAAAATACTTGCTTCTTGTTTGGTGTCTGAAGATACTGTAAAATATTTAAGCATTTGTCGCATTAACTCAAGTGCACTAGCATCTAAACTATTTATTAATTTATTTCTGCAATTTTCTTTAACCTCAGATTCTTCACTGGAACTATCCGGAAATTGTTCACAGGAACACTTTTCTTCAGAATATACTTGTTTACAGTAATTCCATAAATTATGCATTAATTTAGCGACCTGATCTAAACCCAAAGCAAAAGAACAGCTCAACATAGTATGGAAACGTTTAATTTTTATTGAATAATTTTCATTGGTAAATACTGCACCATTTGTTTTCGAAAATAGTTCACTAAACGGAATTTTACGGCACTCTCCATTAATATGTTCTATGGGTAGTATGACATTATTAAACTTGAGCCAATGAGGATTACTCACAAGACTGTTTAACTTTTCAATTTTTTCATGTATGCTGATGTTGCAATTGATAACACAAATAAATGTAAAAGAGTAAACGTATAAGAACAACATTTTAAAATATACGTTTTTGTAGTCGTATTTTTTTAGTAGCAAAACAGAATATATACTGAATGAATTCATTTAGTTTTTGTTTGTTTTATAACTTTAATATTTAAAATATTTGTAATGTGAATATTGTTTTTTCATTCATAAATTACTTTAATTATATTTATGTAAATAATCATACTCAAAATAACATATTTTTTTAAGTAAAAAAAATAATAATTTTATGCTAATTTGTATTACGTCATGCACTTGATGCTTAAATCCCATTATTATTAGAAAACACNATAATGTGAATATTGTTTTTTCATTCATAAATTACTTTAATTATATTTATGTAAATAATCATACTCAAAATAACATATTTTTTGAAGTAAAAAAAATAATAATTTTATGCTAATTTGTATTACGTCATGCACATGATGCTTAAATCTCATTATTATTAGAATACACAGAAGTGCAAATTTGTAAATTACACATATTAATATTACATGATAATTAGAGTTTCAATACGTTCATGTCAAAGAAATATAAAATATCCATTTCTATAGTCAATATTGGTTCAATTAAATACTTAATCTCTCTTATTAGACAACTGAAAAATTTGTAGATAATAATCAAATCTTATTATATAATATAATATTGTAAAATTAGCCAATGTGAAAAAAATTACTATGAACGTATTAAAAAAATTATAGCTTCGATACGAAGCTGAGAAGGTATTAGTTTTACAATGATATATTTTTTTCTCAACTCTAACCGAATCGAATTTTTTTAACGATACGTCAAAAGATCACAAATCGTATCTAGTCGAAGTCATTACCCTGAAAAATTGAAAAAATTTCTCTCGTTCTGCGTAAATGGGGGAAATCTCCAAAAAAATTTCAAATTTAAAAATCGCTAATTTTTGACATTTTTAAAATTTATTTTATTTAAAACTGCCATAACTTTTTCAAAAATGATCAAATCAATATGATTTTAGCTACGATGCAAAGCTGAAAAAGTATTAATTTTACTATGAAGTATTTTTTTTAATTTTTTTATTTTTTTGTCTGTGAACGCTCAATCTCAGCTCTTGCTGGACCGATTTTGATGAACAATAAATCAAAAGATTACAAATCGTATCTAGTCAAAGACATTACCCTCAACAATTAAAATATTCCCTCGTTCCCCATAAACGGGGAAAACCCCCCAAAACATTACAAATTTAAAAATCGCTAATTTTCGACATTTTTTCAATATTAGCTTCGATGTAAAGCTGTGGAGGTATTGGTTTTTCTATGATGTGTTTTTTTTTCTGTTTGTGTCTGCTACCACTTTTTCAAAAAAAAATCACAAATTAAAAAATCGCTAATTTTTGAAATTTTCTAAATTTTTTTTTCTTAAAACTGCCATTACTTTTTTCAAAAATGAATAAATCAATATATTTTTTTTCTATATAGATGCTTGATGTCTTTACCTATTATTTGGTATATTTTTTTTATAAATTTAACCATTTACCTGTGAGCAGGGGGGATTTAAAATGACAACTTAACTTTTGAAAGTGTTCCGGAAGGACTGACACCTTATATATATATACCTTAAATTAAAGCTAACGTAATATACTTTATAATGGAAAAAACAAAATTCGGACTTTATTTTGTATTCACGGTGAAAATAGACATCAAAGTTAATAAAAAAAAACAATTAGCTACTTATATTTGTAATCCCTTGTGTATTATACCTGTATATTAACTCAAAAATTAAAAACTTTAAATGTTTGTATCTAATAAACAAATAAATTTATATTAAAAATTCAAATGCCATTTACTATTAAATTAAAAACTCAAACATTTTATTAAATTCAAAATATGTGTTCCCATTTAAAAAAAACCCAGCACAGGGGGGTCGTGACACACTTGTAACGTAGCAAAGTTGGATCAAGTATAATGATATCTGACAGTGATTAAAATCACTATAAAAAAAAAAAGCTTCGATGCAAATCTTAAGATAGTCTTTAATTTTAAAAAATTGGTGGTTTATTCCAAAAGCTACATGATCTGCTAGTTGTTTATTAATATCCTGATTAAGATAAAGTATGTCGAAAGAAAAAGAGATTATTAAAAAATATTATTTCTCATGAAAAAAATTGTATTGATTCATACACTTTTCAATAAGTTATAGCATTATAATGTTCAATATGTAAAAAATCAAATCGAGAATTTTCACACAAAAATAGCATTCAGTAGCCATTTTCATCGTAAAGACAAAATAAAGTCCGAAATTTTTTTTTTTTCCATAATAAAACACATTATATTAGCTTTAATTTAAGATTATATAAAAGTGTCAGACTTTCCGTAACACATTCAAAAGTTAAGTTAAAAAAGTAAATTTTTTGTGAAAAAGTTGTCATTTTAAATCCCCTCATATGGGCAGGTAAGGTTCAAATTTATAAAAAAAGTATATCAAATGAAAGGTAATGATATCATGCCCCAATGAAAAAAAAATTATATTTATTTGTTCATTTTTGAAAAAGTTATGACAGTTTTTAGTAAAAAAAATTTCGAAAATAAGCGATTTTTAAATTTGTAATTTTTTTGGAGGTTTCCCCCATTTACGGGGAACGAGGGAAATTT